CATGCCAAAAAATGACTTACATGTCCCCGTCTTTCCACCCACAATACGGTAAGGTCTACGTTTAATGGTCGCACATTTTCTTTAAATTTTGAAACTGATATAACTTGAAAAACAAACAGTATTATTTATTTACTCACATGAAACAAACCGGGATGCGGTATTTCAGTACGTAGGTGAAACTGGACGATATTTATCTAAACGCACGCAAGAACACCTGTATCGTTTTAAAAGACCCAATAAATTCAAAAGTATCATTTATCAACATCTTAAAAAGCACAATCATCCTATTAAATATTTAACAGTTCTTAAGCAGCCTGGTGAATCTCATTCAAAGTTTGTACGATCACGGAAAATAATTGAATTAAATTGGATTAAAAAATTACAGACAGTCTACCCTCTCGGTCTTAATGATAATATCATGGGAATTGGTAATATATCAAGAACCGATTCTGTTAACATTTTGGATATAGTTTCTAAAACTGTTCGTAAAAATCGTTCTCATGGGCGTAGAAAAAATCGCAATCAAAGAAAAATCTGGACCAACCATACAAATATTTCGGACCTAATTTCTATTTCAAAAAACAACGGCAGACATTATCTATTAACCAAGCTCTGTTCTTTGCCTATAAATAAATTAAATAAAATTTTAGAGGATTGCAACACAATTTCATATTGCAGTCCTAAGTATGAAATCGTTCAAATTATAATGGCATATTGATTCCCAAAATTGATCGCCCTGAAGATCATAAAAAACATTTTATTAAAATAAAGTATGTCAATAAAGGTTTTGATTTTGTAAATATTGCTTGTATTTTTAACAACCATTCTGTTAAAGAACAAATTCCTGGATATTTTGATAATACTGAACTCCCTCTTATTTGTTATATTTACAAGAAATCTACCCGGAAATTTGTGTTTAATTATAGCCAAGTCTGTAAAGATGTAAATATCAGTGAAAAAACACCTACGTCATGTCATTGTAGTAATTCCGAATACACTTATGGCCCCATTTCCCATGTTATAACAGGAGACCTTAACATTGTTCGGGACCGAGATTTAAAATCATTCCTCAGTAAAGGACCTAAATATCGCCCCCCGTCAATTATTAATTGGAATGAGTGTCGTAATATCATCCACGACTCACTTCGTGCTTACTGTTTGAAATGGATAAAACGGGAAAAAGCTGACAAAAAATCTTTGGACTCTTTTTTTAATTCAGTAATGAAGATAGTTGATATACGTATACAACATTTTAAAGAACATTTTACTCTTAACAACAACCATAAAAATCCTATTTCTCGTATCAAACATAAACTAAAAGAACTAGCCAAGGAATTTGTTTTTGTCCCGGCTGATAAAGCTGCTAATAATATCATTATAGTTTGACGTAAATTTTACATTGAGGTTCTGCAAAAGGAAATCACGAATTCACCAACATTCCAACTGACTTCATTTTCAGAAAACGATATCTGTAACAAACATAAACTATTAGCTACTTCTTTACAAGCAGAACCAAATACAATGAAAGTCCCAACTATGTACTGGCTACCGAAGCTACACAAATCACCTTACAAATATAGATTTATTTCGTCTTCAAGTCATTGTTCCACTACTAAATTGTCTATTCTACTTACTAGTACACTTGGTACAATCAAAAACCTGATAATAAATTGTTCAAATAAGGCCTTTGAAAATAGTGGAATTAATTACTTTTGGAGTGTCAAAAACTCATTGGAAGTACTTGATAAATTACATGCATATATTGGTGATTTTGAATCTGTTCAAAGTTTTGATTTTTCTACCCTATATACCACTTTGCCTCATATTCTTATTAAGAAAAAATTCACACACCTAATTAAATGGGCATTTAAAAAGTCGGAATGCGAATACATATGTTCAAACTCTTTTAGGTCATTTTTTAGAGCAACAAACAAAAGAACTATGTCAATTGGACATGCTTTGATACTATATCTGCCTTGAATTTTTACTTGATAACATTTTTGTTTGCCTTGGAGATTCTGTATATTGTCAAGTTATCGGAATTCCAATGGGGACTAACTGTGCACCACTTATTGCGGACCTGTTTTTGTATTGTTATGAGTTACAATTTATGACTATAATCAGCAAAGACCCATCGAAACAACATCTGATACAAAAATTTAACAATACTTTTAAATATTTGGATGATATATTGGCTCTCAATAATGACGACTTCAGTATGTATACTAAAGAAATTTATCCTGTTGAACTTACTTTAAATAAAGCTAATACTTACAATGACCACTGTCCTTTCCTCGATCTTGATATCTACTGTAAATTCAGAAATTATTGCGTGCATTTATTATTGCGATTTTTCAAAAATGGACAAGAATGCGAGTTTAATTATTGCGATTTCAGAAAAATCTACATACAGATCTATGTTTTAGTTATCAAAATGCGAGTTCTTATTATTGCGATACTCATCTAGTCGCATTATTCGCATTAATAAAAACCTCGCAATAATTTCTGAATTTACAGTATATCATTTAAGGGAAGCTTAATACAAAAATTTATGATAAAAGAGATGATTTTTCATTTCCTATCGTTAATTATCCATTTTTAGATGGTGACGTTCCCTTGTCACCATCTTATGGTGTTTATATATCTCAACTTGTACGATTCGCTCGTGTATGTAACAACGTATTAGATTTTAGGGAGAGAAATTTATGTATTACTGAAAAATTATTACACCAGGGTTTTCGATATCATAAACTAGTCAAAACATTTACTAAATTTTATCATCGGTACAAGGACATCATTCGTAAATATAACTCAACATGCAGACATCTTATACGTTTGGGTATTTCACATCCAATCTTTTATGGTAATATTCTTTACAAAGCACAAAAATGTCAGTATTCACCTCAAAAGCTAACAAAACCTTTCAACAGACTTATTAAGAAGGGATATAGTTACGATACTGTTGTCAGGTCATTAAAGATTGCATATTTTGGCTTTAATATTGATTCACTTATAGGGTCTTTGCATCGGAATTAAACACATTTGTTCTAAAACCAGTTGTTGGCATGACACGGGTTATGTTCTTCTCATATATTTTATGACGGTATAATACTAAACCCCTAACAGGAGGGATTGTGCCTGATATTCATATGATGAAGACATAATCTTTCCATCAGTTTAATTGAGGTCTGGAGCTGGCATGTCAGTAACTGCTAGTAGTCTGTTGTTATTTATGTATTATTGTCATTTTGTTTATTTTCTTTTGTTTCCTATTCTGACATCGGACTCGGACTTCTCTTATACTGAGTTTTACTGTGCGTACTGTTGTGCGTTTGTTTTTACTACATTGGCTAGAGGTATAGGGGGAGGGTTGAGATCTCAAAAAACATGTTTAACCCCGCCGCATTTTTGCGCCTGTCCCAAGTCAGGAGCCTCTGGCCTTTGTTAGTCTTGTATCATTTTTAATTTTAGTTTCCTGTGTATAATTTGGAGTTTAGTATGACGTCCATTATCACTGAACTAGTATACATATTTGTTTAGGGGCCAGCTGAAGGACACCTCTGGGTGCGGGAGTTTCTCGCTGCATTGAAGACCCATTGGTGGCCTTCGGCTGTTGTCTGCTCTATGGTCGGGTCGTTGTCTCTTTGACACATTCCCCATTTCCATTTTCAATTTTAATCAATCTGTAAAGTCAATGCCACGTTTATAAAGAAAGAAATTGCTTATGTCTTTGATTACAGGATGTTTGACATTGTTATTGTCACATACTGGTATTTTTCGTTACAATTTGTTTAACTGTGCATGTAAAATGCAAACAGGAAACGGACAAGAAGTTGATATGTTATAAGTCCAAAAACTATAACATCAATTGATTGAACAAAATCCTAATCGATTAATGACATCGCCAAGCCCAACCAACTGATTTCTGACTAATTCCGATCATCGGAACAACATTAAAATTTATATTGATTTATCTACACAATGGTGTATGACACGCCTACCTTTGTTGTCCGTATCATTCGTAGCAGGCCTCTCAAGTATGTCTATCGTAATTATTTTGTCTTCTCACAGCCCTTTGGAAATATAAGGTTCGCTGTAAATGGTTAATTATAAAAATTATTTCCCAAAAACCTGTTAGTTTTTCTCTGAATAGAACTTATCATCCAGATAGTAAATTTGTAAGAGATTCCGTGAAAAAAAATGTATTTTTTAAGTGTTATTTGAGGTACGAGTTTCTATTTTTAGACTCAAATTTTCCCATTCCATCAATTTCATTCAGACTCTCTCTGGACTTTAAATATAAAATTGAGATACCGGGTAACTCCAAAAAACATTTATTTTTAGCAATAAGATTTGACCATTCGGATATCGAGATATGTATAAGAGAGGGAAAAGATACCAAAGGAACAATTATAATTAGCCATTTACTGCCAACCTTACATTTCCAAATGGCTGTGAGAAGACAAAATAATTACAGTTGATCGGACATACCATGAGGCCTGCTACGAATGATTCCGACAACAAAGGTAGGTGTGTCATACACCATTGTGTAGATAAATCAATGTAGATTTCAACACAACACGTTTTAGTGGGGTAGGTCGTCCAAGAATGTTCTGACCTCCAACGGCTGTTTTGCCAGACAAGCTGGGGCCGTCTGTCAGAGCAATCTCGGACTAATGGGTAGACAACAGAGGAATCGAAATGTAACGAAAGTTCGTGACTAAATGTCATTTTTCAAAAATGCTAGTTAAGTACCTTGTGTTATATTAAGGTATATATGTGGAAAAAAAATCAGAGACAAGTGCCTGTGCTTTCGAGCTAGCCCATAAAATACAGGTGAAAATATTTCTAGCCTTATAAAAGGAAATCCTTGCCTCGTAAACACGTAAAAGATGTGTTGTTTTTGGGGAAAAATATTGACTTTTCATGAAAAACAGGAAAATTTCAAACTGGAATAGTTCGAAAAGTCTTAGATATATATAACCTGAAAAACATTATACCTGAGACATAGATTATATTGACTTTCTTCCCAAAATTAAAACGCGCCAGGTGCTATGAGGGCGAGGGAAAAGAAACTGTTCAAACATTAATTGTTACTTATTCTGTAAATTCCTCCTAAAACTGGACCACCTTCTACTTGGTCGAAATACGTTGTTGTAAATGGGAGTAAATCAAGCAATTCAGTTGTACTTTCAGGAGTCCCCCAGGGAACAGTTCACGGGCCAATCATGTACCTGACTACTATAACCAAGGATTTGTATAGTGATTCTATACAAATCCTTGCTATAACACAGAGCCTTTTTGAATTACAAACTATGCCGGATGATGATGCAAGTCTTTCAAATATAAATGCATATAAATGCCAACCATTTGTGAATGTAATGCATGTTGTTATATTATTGTTTTTATGTTGTGTATCCTCGATGATTGAAAGTTCGTTATTATTGTTTTGATTATGTGTCGATGATAGGTTTCTATACTCGGTCTAAAGCTCTCTCGAGCTGATGTTGTACAGTTTTATAAATGCTATATCAAAATAATCTAAGACATAAGACATAAGACATAAACCTTTATTTAGAGTCGGTTTAAGCAATACAATTATAAACATAAGCTCTGAAGAGCTTATAAAACCAACAGAACAAAAGCACAACAAACAAAACATACATATCAAGTCAGGCATGCACACATACAATTAAACATACTGAGAAAACAAGAGTTCATATTAATATGTATACATGCAACACAAAAGTTCTATAAAGCATCTTAAACACACACACTGAAGCATGCACTTATGAGCTCGAGGTAAAAACAGCAAAAATAATGGTTTGCAACATAAAATGCACATAGAGATTAGTTAAGTAACTACACTAAGCACAAAATAGCAGAAGCACTATAGTAAACAAAACAAAATAATTTTGCCATACTGAAAACAAAGCATTAAACCAAAAATAATGAACAGAATTAACTGGTTTTGCAGTTGTGTCGGTTAAAAGCTCATTAGAGCTTATGTTTGTCTTTGTTTGTATACCTTGCCGACTCTAAATAAAGCTTATTTATTATTATATTTATAGGCGAAACATTGGCATGAGCTACCAAAACAAGAATTTATCAAGTTCTTGAATTGATTTAAAGATGATTGCTTACGTAGCTCATCTGGCAGCTCATTCCAAAGCTTAGCACCCGCATACCTTAAAGATTGTAGGCCATATGCAGTTGTTCTCACATGTTGCAGGTCTGCTGTATTCTGGTATCTAAAAGAGTAAGGGTTATCATTTAAGTGGATTAAATCATGGAGATAAACAGGACAATCTTTGTTAATAATTTTGAAAACTTCAATAGCCAATAATCGCATTCTTCTAATTTTTAAAGATGGTAATTTTGATTTGCAGAGTAGATCTTCATAACTTGCTGAATAGTCTTCATAAATAAATCTTAGTGCTCTCTCTTGAATTTTCTCAATCTTTTTTGTATTAACCTTCCCACAAAAGTGCCAAACAGTTAACTAGTGGGCAGTACTTAAAGTTGGACATTAATATGAAAGAATAATTAATTGTTAATTTTCCAAGTTTAGTCAGGTGTTTTCCAATTCTTTTAAATACATTTATATCTTAACTTAACTTAATTTAAGAGGGTAGGAATGCCCTTTACCGTCAGGCGTCAAACGGTTATTTTCGGCTACCGTTAGCGTCAAATTGGTTAACATTTTATCGTGAGTCGTCAAAATATTCTTATCGTGATTCGTCATTTGAAATAATTAACCGTTACCGTTATTACTGTAAAAACTTTAACGTGATTCGTCGAAATCAGTAGATTTTTGTATCGTCATAAAGAAAATGTACATTTTATCGTCAATATCATGCACCAAAAATTACCGGCGTTAACGTCATTTGGCAAGATTTTTTATCGTTATTCGCAAGGATATGTATAGTGTCTCACTATACAAATCCTTGTTATTCGTCATGAAGGTTACAATTGTATTATTGATCAACAACTATTGCATGAACAATGTAAAATTGAGGATTTTTAGAATGTATTTTTAGCCACGGTAACATGCAGTATGCACTGTGCAACATTCTGTTTTTGACCTACGAAAAGCTAAACACAACAGTATTGGCGTTCAAACTGAGTAAATACAAATGTACATGTGATCAAGTTTAAACGAATCACAAATCCTTAAAAATATTCGATTAATAATATATATATATCATATTTATATTATATTATTTTTATGCAAAACGTTGCCGTTTCGTTCCCCCGTCATTTTGTTCCCTCTCTAAATCCGCTCTTTCCACCGTAAGTAATTAATTCTCGAAAGCTGTCATATTGACTTGGCAGCATTTATACTAAACATTAAAAAATAAGGTCTTCATCTACATATACTATGCTTCTTAATTTCAACATGTTGAAGATTACACCAGAAGGAAATTGCTAGGAAAAATTTTAAAATCTGAACATATTTACAACAAGGATTTGTATAGTGATAATATATATATATATATAATACACTATACAAATCCTTGTTTACAATAAGCAGAGACATATAATAAAGTATTATATGTCTCTGCAATAAGTGAGCTACCATTTGATTTTTATGTTGGGGGCTAGGATGAAAAATTTTGTCCTGCCTATTTATTTTCCCCTCTATTCGGTCCTGCCTTTTTATTTTTCACTCTATTCGGTCCTGCCTTTTTTTTTTAGTTTATCCTGACTTTTTTTTTACATAAATTGTCATCCTGTTTTTTTTTGCAAATAATCTCATCCTGCCTTTTTTTTTACTCAAAAATCCTGTCCTGCCTATTTTTTTCAAATTTCATCCTAGCCCCCCCCCCCCCCCCATAAAAATCAAATGGTAGCTCCCTTAGAAGTTCTCACAGCTAATTTTGCTAAATGTGTGCAATTTTGCTACTCTGTGCAATTTGGGTAATGTGACGTTATGTAGATAAAAACATTTATTTGTTCTAGCAATATATTTGGGATTCTGCACCAGACTTAAATACATTTCAATTAATAATTCCATAACCTTATTGTTCTTGGAAAAAATGAAAATAAATGGTAATTTGTTTGAGAGAATGGTTGTACAAATTTATTTCTCTTTTGATGGTACTAAGTATTGCTTGTTTGAGATGGAAACAATTGATGTTGGATTTTGTAGAGCATGGTGACTGATGCAATATTTGTTCTTTGTTGTAGTGTTGGCCAGCTTAGGGAGCTACCATTTGATTTTTATTGGGGGCTAGGATGGAAAATTTTGTCCTGCCTTTTTATTTTTCCCTCTTTTCGGTCCTTCCTTCTTTTTTTTTAGTTTATCCTGACTTTTTTTTTCCATAAATTGTCATCCTGCCTTTTTTTATTTGCAAATAATCTCATCCTGCATTTTTTTTTACTCAAAACTCCTGTCCTGCCTATTTTTTTCAAATTTCATCCTAGCCCCCCCCCCCCCCCATAAAAATCAAATGGTAGCTCCCTTAGAAGTTCAAGCATGGCTGTTACACTACTTTTGTAGCTGTATTGATTTAATGTTTACCTAGCAGTTCTTCTCTGTATCATTTTAATTTTGTTTATTTGTTGTTTCTGTCAGGGATCCCAGACAACACATATTCTACTTTTAGTCTGACACATGTTTTGTATTAAAGAAAGTTCTTTTATGCTTGAAACTGGGTGAAAATAGGCATGTGGATAACAAACACTCTGTTGAAAATATATAAAGGTTCTTTAATAAAAGTCTCAGATGACAATCAACATAATCACAGTCATATAAAGACCCTACAAAACTACTATAACTACTAGTGAAAAAAGAATACTCTGCCATGTCTTTGAACAAGTTCACTTGCACTATGTTACATTCTAAATGAAATAACATTGTCATTCTCATTTACACCTATATTTTCTGTCTCAAACGTGTGTCTTACATGTACATGTATAATGTTTATGCATCTCATAAACTTTATTGTGATAAATATTCTGTTCCCATGTAAAAATATACTTCTACATGAATTTATAAATATTTGTAAATGAAGCAAAATAGCAAGGCAAAGAAATATCTATATGCAGCAACTACGCAAAGGCTAGTATAAGTAAGCAAAATAAGCAAATTATTAACTCAATTATAAAAAACATAATTCAACTCTTTGCTTACCTCAAGTGCTAATTTGAAGGTAAAATAAATATATATTCTAATATCTACACCAATCACATCATGATTACATCAAATATTAACCTATTACAGTAGATACATTTGAATTTATAACTAAATTGTGTTTAGTGTTTAAAATATAACCCCATAATATGAACACATAATTAACATACAAAAATCTGTTCTCTTAGATGCTGAAAAAAATAAAGGTTTTAAAATGAATATTTAACAATTTGATTACTACTTATTTATACACAAGAAAACTCTTTCCTTCTGTTTTATCATGTTTATATTATTTCACTCCATTATCTGATTATAATATCAAATTTGTGTTCACCGATATTTCAGGTCTATGGCAATTGCAACAGTTGTTTGTAAAATATTTGATATACATTATAATGTTTATCTTTTTTATTTGCAGGTTTCGAAACCTAATTGTGTATTTCGAGGAGACCTTGTAATTTTCATTCATATTACTAAAACTTCTCCAGATGCCTTTACAATGTATATTGTTAATAAATTGAATTTAGCTGCATAGCAGATACATAGCAACAAAATCCTATTTCAGATATTTGTAAAATGGAACTCCAAAAACAAAATTGTTTAAGTTTGCACACTGAAGAATTCACACAGAGCAGTTCATCAACTGTAATTGAAACAGTTCATTGCAAGATTTTAAAGGAAAAATTAAGACAGAACAGAAAATGCAGTTCGAAAATACAAAGCAAGAAAATACAGGAACACCAACACAAAGTTTTACAGGAGAAAAAGAACAAACAAGAGGACTTTTATACTTGTCAAAAATGTTTCAAGACTTTTAGTCGCAGAGGAGGATTACAAAGACACAAAGCAATACATCTGCCAGAAAAACCTTTTAAATGCAAGTTTTGTGAAAATGGATTTAGTGTAAAAGGTGCACTTAAATTACATATGAAGAGTCACACAGGAGAAAACTGCAGTGAATGTCCTGTATGTAATAAACTGTTTGTCACTAAATGGTTGTTACAAAGGCATATGATAACACACGCTGATGAAAAACCTTATGCTTGTTCAATATGCAGCAACTCTTTTAAATATGAAAATAGTATCAAGCTTCATATGAAACAACATCTAGGACTCACCAAACAAATTGAAATGCAATTGGATGAAAGCCCTTTTATATGTTTATTATGCGAGCAGACATTTACATCAAAAGAGCATATAGTAAAACATATGAATGAACACTTAGAAATCTCTGAAAGCAAACCTTTTATGTGTGACATATGTGGAAACAGATTTAGTCAAAAAGGTGATTTAAAACGTCATATAAATAGACACTTTGACAAGGATCATAAACCCTTTGCTTGTGGTGTATGTGGTAGAAGTTTTAATCATTCAGGTGACGTCACAAGACACATGAGAATACACTCAGGTGAGAAACCATACAGCTGTGGTGAATGTAATAAGCAGTATGTTAGAAAAAGTGATTTAGTAAAACATGTTAAAACACACAAAGATGGGCCATACAAATGTGAAACTTGTGATCAACAGTTTCAACGGAGGAGTAATTTTACCAGACACAATTGTAAAACATCAGATTAATAAAAAAACATTTTTGTCTACCAGGTATCTTGCTATGATTGCTGTCAATAAAGCCCAGCAAGGCAAAGCCTAGCAAGTCATGTATTTTGACTGACCAATTTTCATTATTCATGTTAATCATTGATTTCATTTAATCTTTGTTAAGTCTTCAAGATGACTTTAGATTTTCAACCAGTTAGTAAAATATTTAAATCTACAGTATCCACATGTGTAATAGTAGTCTCAGTTACTGTACAATAGATCATAAATATTTTGAATTTTATTGAAAATCTTGATACAAGTATCTTATTTGTAAGAATATTAATGTGATTTCTAATTTTGTAGTTATGTTCTGTTGAATTTTAAGGAATTACCATACAATGTTCAATATAAAGTTTTCTGTTTGACAACCTTGAACATGTTTAGTACCAAATCCATACATACATGGACACATGTTTCAAAGAATGTGTATAAAACAAATAAAAAGTTCCTTTCATACAAATATGTAATTTCTGTTGTTAACAAATTGTTATGAAGTTCATAATTTTATGTTTGTTTGTGTTGTTAAAGCAAACAGTGTACATATGTTTATTTTTGGTTGTGAGTTGATGGTTTGCATTCATTTATACCTGTACATGAAGGTGTATAATGATCTTAAATTACAGAAAAGAAACATGCTGTTTTATATATATACTTACCTTCATGTACAAAATACTAACAGAGCCACAGCAAATTTGGAACATAAAGCTCCCAATCCCACATAATGTGCCAATACATATTACTTAAATCATGTGATATTGACATTAGCTCTACGAACTTTATATTGAATATTAAAAGGAGATGTGGTATGATTGCCAATGAGACAAATATCCACCTAAGTTTAAATGAAGTGGATGGAAGAAATTAAAGGCAACCGTACAGCTTTCAACATTGAGAAAAACTATAAGGTATAGTCTGCTTTAAAAGACCCGGGCATGAAAAATATGAAACAAATGAAACAATTCAATTGAGAAAACTAACGCCTAATTTATAACAAAACAATTTACGAAAAACAAGTATGACAGACATGAACCAACGACAACCTCTGAACTACAGGCTCCTGACTTGGGGATAGGCACATAAAGAATGTGGCGGAGTTAAACAAGTTTGTGAGCGCTCAACCATCCCCTAACCTGGGGCAGTGGTGTTACAGCACAACATAAAAATCCTTTGAAAATTGCTTAACTCAACAGATATATTCAAAGCAGAACAACATCTAACAAAAACACAGACCGGACGTGGCAGGGTATTTAATACATCCCTAACAACAAAATTCTTTGACCAATAAATTTTGATATTAATAAGGTTGATCTTCTCATCATGAGGATTCAATAGACTATAAATGAAATAGACAAGCTTTGTAATATCAACATACTTTTCCCATAAGCTATTAGTTGAGCTAGAACTAAAATTTGCAGACCAGTGTGTCCTTACACAGAAAGTTCAGAGATGTCCTTATCCCCAGGGAAGATAGGTTTATATAAAGGAATACTCAACTAGACTACAATTGTAAACATATGAAGTGATTGGCGTGCTTCAAATTCATTCATTATCTTCAACTTAGTCTTAGTACACTGTAAATTAAAAGTTTAGAGTGGCTATTGTCCTTACTTAGTCATTGATATTATGATTTCACGTTAAAATTTCTCACCTGCTTAACTTATAGTGATTAAATTTATGTTAAAGATCTGTAATATGAAGGTTTTACGACACATAAACTTAACATTAACAACAATTCATGGAAATGAGGTCAAGGTCAGGCCAGACAGACATGTACACCTTACAATCATACCATACACAAACATAAGTTAGCCTATTGCTTATGGCATCTGAGAAACAGACCTAATTACGAAAACTGAACATTGACTAATGAACCTTAAAAAGGAGGTCAAGTTCGGATGAATCCTGCCAAACAACATGTACCCATATAATCATTCCATACATCAAATATAGTTGACCTATTGCTTATAATAGTGTCTGAGAAACAGACATAACCATGAAACTTAACATTGACCAATGAACCATGAAAATGAGGTCAAGGTCAGAAAAACCCTTCAAGACAGACATGTATACCTTACATTAGTACAATCATTCCATACCCCAAATGTAGTTGAACTTTTGATTATAGTATCTGGTATTAAACTAACAAAACCATGAAAACTTAAAAAACATTGACCAATGAACCATGAAAATGAGGTCAAGGTAATCTGCCAGTCAGACATGTATACCTTACAATCATTCCATACATCAAATATAGTGGGACTTGACCACGAAAAGGAAACCTTGATCAATAATCCATGAAATGAAGTCGAGGTCAGATGAAACCAAATATGGTTATCCTATTACTCATAATAAGTGAGTATTTCACATGACAAAAGAACCTTACATTATTACAAGGTGAATCTATTTGGCATAATTGCTGTCAGTTATGTTTGGCAATTACCTGAGCAACACATAAACAAGATGTATGATAAATACTATAGGTCATGAGTTATTCACAATATCATTCATGAAACACAAAAGAAGTCTATTAACATAACACTGATCTAATTGTGAAACTGCTCAGGCATGTGGTAGAAGTTTTTAGTTGCAAAGTTAATTATTACTGATACACCAACTACCAAGGTTTACTCAAGGACGTTCTTTTATATATGTATTTATTATCTTTTGCTTCTAAATCTTATGTCATTCTATATTATCTACCTTGATCTATATTTGGATCTTGTATGTTTTACCAAATAAATAGCTGAAAAAAGAAGGTCTGATACATGTAAGAAAAAAGTTCCCATTTGTTCAACAGTTGAATAGTACTACTTATATTGAACAGATTGAAAATAAATTATTGATATTGAATATAAACAAAATCAAATGCAGTTTTTTTAATGTGAAACATGTATTTTCATCTTTTAGAAGATATTTTTTTTACTCAGGTAAATTAATCAATGAGTGATAGATTTCTCTTAGATTACACCCCAGTTCTATTGTTATACTTCATAGTTTCTATTTCTGAAACAAGTGAAAATTGAATAGATCTATTGTTACGAATAACAATGGATTTTGACCACAGGGTGTGACGAGCGGGGTTTCTGGAAACCCCTGCTTCTACATCCCGCAAACAAAGTCCATTGTTATTCGTAACAATAGAAATTGATTATTTTTTAAATAGACAATAGACAATAGACAATACTGTAATAGTTATACACCGAGGGATAGGTGTGTCTGGATAAGAAACCCCGTCGGCCGGAGGCCGGAGGGGTTTCTTATCCAGACACACCGTATCCCGAGTTGTATAACTAACTTACACCCCATTCTAAACCCTATATTTGTTAACATTGATTATTAAATGAAAAAAAAAAACAAAAGAACGATAGCATATTTATTGATGATATCAAACCATGATTTATAAGAATATTTTTTTTGTTACATGAAACCCCACTAGTAACCTTTCTTTGGTTATCTTCGTTCAAACTTTGACAAGTGAGTATATTTTACAAATGTCAAGTTGTTTTGCATATTCCCGTTAAATACACGTGCTAATATGGATCAGCAGGTCATGGTTGACTGTTTCGTGTATTCTTATGACAAACAAAAAAAAAACCATCATGCTCCTGGTATACAGTTGTCAATATGGACGGGTATAAGACGGACGACATTTTGTGGCAAGCGTTGGATTTGGTAGAAGAGACTAAAGATAAAGGCAATATTATAACCCAAAGTACTTACCGGTATCAGTCTAATAAAGGTAATCATAACTGTATTTTACGATTTTATCAAAAACAAAAGCCCCCCTCCCTCATATCGAGAATAAACAAACATTCATATTCGAACATACTAAGTAATAGATGTGTCTGCATTAGAAACCCGACTACAAGACACGCTCAACATACAATATTTAAAATTGAGTAACTCCCTTTTTTGAGGGGCAATCAGGGGCTGATCCAGCCGGGGGTTCCCAAATCAATAGAAAAGGGGGGGGGGGGGGGGTTCCAACCATTCAAATGCATTGATCTTTTATATAAAAGTCGGGTCCAACCCGCGGAACCCCCAACCCCGGATCGGCCACTGGGTAACCGAGGGAGGGGGGTCCAGGAGTGAAAACAAGAGTTAAAATCACAATTTTTTTTTAAAGATCAATGCTTTAGAATAGAGACATATGACTGGGATAAACAAAATTACCTTCAAGCAAAAAAGTATTTAAAGGATTAGTTTTGTTTTCCATATAGATGCTTATTGGAATTTCCTAAAATGTGTTGTGTTGTGTTTTTTTAATATCATGAAACAATTTGTAGTGAACAATATTAGTAATTTCTTATGTTCATAATCAATTTCTATTGTTACGAATAACAATGGACTTTGTTTGCGGGATGCAGAAACAGGGGTTTCCAGAAACCCCGCTCGTCACACCCTGTGGTCAAAATCCATTGTTATTCGTAACAATAGATCTATTCAATTTACACTTGTTTCAGAAATAGAAACTATGAAGTATAACAATATAACTGGGGTGTAATTATTATTAAACCTCAGACACATAGGTGTACAAGAGGACATCGTATATACACGTATACACATTTTTATACTCAATACATTTACACTACACATAATAATGCATGCATGCATGGTAAAATACAGCAAAATGTCAATTTACAAATTACCATAACATTCAACTCAAAAAAGACAAATATAAATCATAAGTATCGTGTAAGTATTTTAAAAAATATTGCTAAGTTTTTGTAAAGTTCTACATGACAAAATGTTAGAAGCTGTTTTAATTTGTACTCCGTTGGATTTGCAGTATAAAATTCTGGTATATATTTATTTCTAAGCAGTTTTATTTCCTGCTTTTGACATTTGAATAGATAATGAAATTCATCTCCAATCCCGTTTCCACAGAGATGACAAATTCGCTCATTTTTTGGTATTCTAGACCATCTTCCCGTTTCTACAGGAAATTTTAAATTTGAGCATCTGAATTTTGCTATATAAATCCTGTCACACAGCTTCAACTTCATTAAATAGGTTTCCAAACGAAATTCCTGTTTGTAATGTGAATAAAATGCACCTCTTGAAGAGTTATTCATTTGGGAAAACCAATGTTGGATAAATTGGTCATTCAGTTTTTGTGAAATAATGTTCTTTAAACCCAGTTTATCTAATGGAAGTTGATTTTGCCAAATAAAACTAATTCCATTTTCGTCAAATATGGATTTAACGTACATAATCCATTTAAATTTTGTGGGGTATTGAAAATGTAATTTTAGCATTAATTTATACATAATGGAAGATAATTTGTTATTCTCTAATAATAAACTATTCCAAAACATCACCATTTTACGTTTAACAATAATTTCCAAAGGGAATCTTCCGAGTTCCCCATACACCATATAGTTTGGTGTACTGCTTCTTAATTTCAAAATATTTTTGCAAAATTGAAGGTGTATTTTCTCAATGCTATCTTTACTTTCAAATCCCCATACCTCTGAAGCATATAATAAAACCGGACTAACCAATGAGTCAAAAAGTTTAAGCTGCAAATCGACGGGAATACATATATTTTTTATTTTTCGGTATAGAGCATACAAAGACTTCTGTGCCTGATCAAGAAGTTTTTTTCGTGCAGTACAAAAGCTACCATTGTAATTAAAAAGTATACCAAGGTAGCAGTATGAATCAACTATTTCAATGTTTTCTCCATATATCCTAAAATTCTGATTCCTTTTTACTTTCTTTTTACTAAAAATCACTGCTTTAGTTTTGCTTGTGTTAATCTTTAGTTTCCATTTTTTACAATATTCTTCAAAACATACAAGGGTTTTTTGTAATCCTTCTGCACTTTCAGACAATAGCGCAGTATCATCTGCGTACAGTATAATAAACAATTTAACATACATTTGTAATGATTCCAAGCACAGATTTGAAATATTATCTAGACTTTCTATATTATTTTCCACAAAATAACTTTCTAAATCATTTAGGAACAAAGAAAACAAAAAAGGTGATAAATTTTCACCTTGTTTTACTCCTGTGTGAGATATAAAAAATTCGGAAAATTCATTTCCTTTCTTGACACATGTTTTTATATTTTGATACATATTATAGATCACATTAAATAGTTTACCTTTAATGTTTGATTTTTGCATTTTTTTGCCACAATCCCGATCTCCATATAGTGTCAAAAGCGCTTTTAAAGTCTATAAAAGTGCAAAATAGCTTCTTACCAAATGAAAAATATATAGTAATTAAAGAATACAATACAAATATATTATCAACAGTAGAGAATCCTCTACGAAAACCTGCTTGTGATTTTGAAATCAGGTCTACGTGATCTGCATAATTATTTAACCTGTAATTCAACATAGCAGAAAAGTTTTACTAAAGCATGAATTTAATGTGATTCCTCTGTACATTTCGGGATCGGATCTTGATCCTTTATTTTTAAATATAGTTATCATGATTCCATTAGACCAACTGTCTGGGACAATTCCAGTATCTAAAAATTAAATTGAATAGCTTAACGTAAATTGGCATTAAATCGTCAATTGTATTCTTTATATATTCATTTAAAATTTCATCACTACCTGAAGCTTTGCCATTTTTTAAATTCGAAACGACCTTTTTAATTTCATCTTCGGTTACTGGACTATTTAGAAATAACTCAACATCGTCTGATAAAGTTTCAAAGTCAAAATTTTGTTCGAAGAAATAGCATGAACATAAGAAATTACTAATAGTTTTCACTACAAATTGTTTCATGATATTAAAAAAACACATTTTAGGAAATTCCAATAAGCATCTATATGGAATACAAAAATAATCCTTTAAATACTATTTTGCTTTAAGGTATTCCTTTTTATCCCAGTCATATGTCTCTATTCCTAAAGCATTGATCTTTAAAAAAAAATGGGGATTCTAACTCCCGGACCCCCCCCCCCCCCCCCCCCCGGGTTACCCAGTGGCCGATCCGGGGTTGGGGGTTCCGTGGATTGGACCCGACTTCGGTCTCACTAATTAGCGACAACAAGAATTTTAGCGACAAGAAGCATCAACAAGCGACAAGAAGCGACAACAAGAATTATTTTAGCGACAAGAAGCGACAAGAAACTATTTAGCGACAAGAAAACATATTTTTTTTAATTAAAATTAATTATTGCAATAAATATTAAAAGAATATGCAAAAGAAAATAATTTTAGCGAAAAGAAAGTTAAAATTGATCGAAAAAAATGAAACATTATTTACATAATATTTTATCATCTATTATGTATAACAGCCAGTATTACGTTTAATTATTGTATTATGAGATTACTTTTCCTTGTGTTTTAGAACATATTATTTATCTTATAATTTGTTTTTTAAAACTCTTTTCATACTTTGACTTTGATGAAAACAGATACATACATTATCTTATACATATTCTTCATATTTGAAAAATAAAAAAAAGAAGCTCAATCTCTTTCTTCTTCACAAATGTTTCATTTCTTCGTCTATCTATATAATAAAACATTTTAATTAGACATATCTGCTCGTATATTTAAAAAAAACCATTAAATACAAATTTCTTTATATCTAATAAAAAAAAAATGTTTTCTTGTCGCTAAATAGTCTTCTTGTCGCTTCTTGTCGCTAAAATAATTCTTGTTGTCGCTTCTTGTCGCTTGTTGACGCTTGTTGTCGCTTCTTGACGCTTGTTGTCGCTAATTAGTGAGACCCCCCGACTTTTATTTAAAAGATCAATGCATTTGAATGGTTGGACCCCCTCCCCCTTCCCCCCTTTTCTCTTGAGTTGGGAACCCCCGGCTGGATCAGCCCCTGATTACCCCCCAAAAAGGGAGATCCTCTATATTAAATATTGTATGTTGAGCGTGTCTGGTAGTCGGGTTTCTAATGCACAGACACCTATCCCCTAGTATGTTCGAATATGAATGTTTGTTTATTCTCAAGAAGAGGGGGGGGCTTTTGTTTTTGATAAAATCGTAAGATATAAAATACAGTTATGATTACCTTTATTAAACTGATACAGGTAAGTACTTTGGGTTATAATATTGCCTTTATCTTTAGTCTCTTCTACCAAATCCAACGCTTGCCACAAAATGCCGTCCGTCTTATACCCGTCCATATAATTTGACAACTGTATACCAGGAGCATGATGTATTTTTTGTTTGTAATAAGAATACACGAAACAGTCAACCTTGACCTGCTGATCCATATTAGCACATGGATTTAACGGGAATATGCAAAACAGCAACTTTGATATTTGTAAAAGATACTCACTTGTCAAAGTTTGAACGAAGATAGCCAAAGAAAGGTTACTAGTGGGGTTTCATGCAATAAAAAAATATTCTTATAAATCATGGTTTTATATTGTCAATAAATATGCTATCGTTTTTTTTTTTTTTTTTCATTTAATAATCAATGTTAACAAACATAGGGTTTAGAATGGGGTGTAAGTTAGTTATACACCTCGGGATACGGCGTGTCTGGATAAGAAACCCCTCCGGACCCGGCCGACGGGGTTTCTTATCCAGACACACCTTTCCCTCGGTGTATAACTATTACAGAAATTTAAAGGTCCCAGTGAAAAAACTACACAGAGAACAAAAGCTATTGTATTTATTCATTGGGAAAATAGAACTGACAAAAGTTTAAATAGATTGAACAATAGGAGATGAATCTGTGGAAAAGTTTCATTTGGTCCACAATAAGGTTTTTGTGACTTAAAATATTGCCTCATTGATGTATACCCCACATAATTAATTTACATAACATATTAGAGATAAAGAAAAAACTGAAGGCAAATGTTCAAATAGCAATTTAAGTCAGGTGAACTATTTATTTTTTATTTAGAAAGATTGATTAAAACAGTTGAATATATCTACAAAATAGTAAATTTTACTTGAGGTTATGCCTTCCATGTATGAGTTGATTAATGTTATAAAAATTTGATAATACTATGTTAAACCATTTTTTTTTTTTTCGTCTAAGTGTTATTTTTTCAACTTCTTCCATTATGGGTTTTCATATGATTGATTAGGTGTTGATTCATGTAAAATCCTTTACCACATAACTGACACAGGTGAGATTTCTCACGTAAATCTGTATGGTTTCTCATGTGTCTGTTTAATGCATCAATTCTTGATACCTTTTTGCCACAAATATTACAGGTATACTTCATCCCATCTGTGTGTCTTCTAATGTGCCTATTAAGATTACGCTTATCTGCAAATGCTGCACCACATATGGTGCATGAGTGCGGTCTCTCACCCGAGTGCGTTCTCATGTGGGCTTGTAATTCACAATTTTCAATAAAGCCTTTGCCACATGTAGCACAGTTGTGAGGCTTTGTTCCTGTATGTTCAGTCATATGTTCCTGTAGATGTCTGCGGTAAGAAAAACTTTCACCACAAGTAATGCATAAGTATGGTGTTTCACCTGAGTGTTGTCGCATGTGAACTTTCAACCTATTGCTTGCTTTGAATCCTTTACCACATGTGCTACATTTGAAAGGTTTTTCATCAGTATGTGATAACAAATGAACTTCCAAATGCTGATTTGAGAAAAATGTTTTACCACAAGTGGAACATAAGAAAGGTTTCTGACCTGAATGTGATTTGATATGAACTCTAAGTGTATCAGTTCGTGAAAATCCTTTACTACACAAATGACAAACATATGGTTTATTTACATTGTTTGAAGATCTTTGGCTCTCTTTATTTCCAGGAAATTGAGCATGCAATTCTTTATTTGTTGCATGATATGGAGATGTTGACTCCTTATTTTGTGCTTCTTTTGTTTTCTTTATTGATGAATTAGATGTTGGATCTTTATTGAGATATTCTTTATTATAGTTAGCTGTGACAATTTTTTTATATATTTTTGTATTTCTCTTTGTTTGAATAGGAGAGGTTGAATCTTTATTATTTATTTTTATAAATTTCTTCTTTATAAATTCAGATTGAAAATCCTTTGCAACTGTTTCTTCTATTTTCTTCACAGAAGAAACTGGTTCTTGTTCATTTGTATGCACTTCTTCAGTGGTCTGTACTAGAAGATCTGATTCTTTGTTATGTGCTTTCATGTCTTTCAGCTCAAGATAATCAGATGTTGTATCACCAAGTAAATCTGTATGGTTCCTCATGTGTCTCTCAAATACACCAATCCTTGAAAACTGTTTGTCACAAACATTACAAGTATATTTCATCCCATTTGAGTGTGTTCTCATGTGTCTATCAAAATTACGTTTATTTCCAAATGCTGCACCACATGTATTGCAAGTGTATGGTCTCTCACCTGAGTGCATTTTCATGTGGGCTTGTAACTCGCAATTTTCAATAAAGCCCTTGCCACATGTAGCACAGTTGTGAGGCTTTGTTCCAGTATGTTCAGTCATATGTTCCTGTAGATGCCTGCGGTAAGAAAAACTTTCACCACAGGTAATACATAAGAATGGTGTTTCTCCTGAGTGTTGTTGAATGTGAACTTTGAAACTACTGTTTGCTTTAAATCCTTTAGCACATGTGCTACATTTGTATGGTTTTTCATCAGTATGTGATAATATGTGAACTTGCAAATTATGATTTGAAATACATGTTTTACCACAAGTTGAACATAAGAAAGGTTTCTGACCTGAATGTGATTTGATATGTACTGTAAGTGAATCACGTCGAGGAAATTCTTCACTACACAAATGGCAAACATATGGTTTATTTACATTGTTTGTCATTTGTGTATTTCCAGGAAATGAAGCAGTCAATTCTTCATTGGTTGTATGACAAAGAGATGTTGAATTCTTATTTTGTGCTTCTTTGGTTTTCCTTAATGAGGGTTTAGATATTGGATCATCATTCATATGTTCTATATCATTCCCTGATGAAGAGTCTTCTTTTCCAGAATGCATTTTTATTTCCTTTTCAGCTTGGTTAATCATTTCATTAGGACAGGATGGATCTTTGCTATCCATACCCTCTGTTCTACATTCAGGTGTGAAAGTTTTGTTATTTATCTTTGTATCTCTTTTTGTTGGAATAGAAGAGGCTGATTCCTTATCATATGTTTCTATGATTTTCATTTTATTACCAGATATAAAATCTTTTGCAACTGTTTCATCTTCTGTGCTCACAGAAGATACTGGTTCTGGTTTCCTTGTATACATTTCTTCATTGGTCTGCACTAGAAGATCTGATTCTTTGTTGTGCATTTTCATGTCTTTCAGCTTAAAATGATCATAAACTGTATTATCATTTATCATTTCTGAGTCATGTGTTGTAAATCCAACAACCTGCCAATCTTCAGAATGCATTTCTTCATCAGACTGAGCTGAACAAGTATTTTCTGAATCTTTGATTACCATATCTACATCTTTGATTGAGGTACAAAATGTTTGATCAGTTGTGTGTAGTTGAAAATCTTTATCTATAAACTGTTTTGTCTTATTTTCATTACCTTTCTTAAACAAATATGCATATGGCCAACCACCCTTGTGTGTCTTGAAATGCTGAACAACACTATTATTCTTTGGAAGCTTTGGACATGAGATACTCATGTGCCGTTCTTTACTCCGCTTGTCGCTAAATTCTTTATTACACATATTACAAATGTGAGATTTATTCCTTTTGTGTATTGACATGTGCCTTTTCAATTTGATTTGTTGATTAAAACTCTTACCACATACAACACAGTCACACTTTCCATTGTGGGTTATCATGTGATCTTTAAGAAGATAATTCATTGAAAAAATTTCTCCACACAGGCTACAGCTATAGCTTTTTCCTGCTGTGTGTATTTTCCCATGTTTATTAAGGGTCTCCATACTCCTGCATTTTTTGTTACATAGATTACAATGGAATGATTTATCTTCCTGCTTGAGGCTTGAACACTCTTCAGTACTTATACCTTCTGCCGCCAAATTTTTCTGTATATACATACATATTTTCTCATCTGTTTTGCCTACTAGAAATGGTTGAGGCTCATTTTCTAAAACAATGTGTTCTTTGTTTCCTGTTTTTGTTTCATCTACAAAATCCAAGTCTTTGACATTTTTAATGGTTTTTGTATAATCATCACTTGATATACAAAGGTCCTTTTCACTTTCCCCGTCTATTGTGTTAAAACCCTTTTTTTCTTTATATTTTATGTCACCATTATTCTGCCTAGGTGTTCCTTTGCCTATATTTTCATTACAGGGAAGAATTTCTTTAGAAGTCCCTTGTATTATGTCTGTTTTATTTTCCATTACGGTAACAGTTATTTTGTCTCAATATGTTTCATTAAAAGTTGCAATTAATATCTAGGATTAACATCCTTATACCGTCATCTCCAAATTACTAACTCAAGGTAATCAGTCTGTTTGATGGACTTTGGTCTTTTCATTTCTCTTTTCTTTTTTCCTGAAAATATATGACTTTTAAATATTTATATGTTCAATTTTCATGCATGGGTTTCCTATTCTACTATCATATGTAACACATATCGTCATGTTTTTTTTTGTTGTTTTGCAAATTGGGTTTTAAATGGCAGATTTTAGATACTTTCTGTCCATTTTCTTACAATTCTTATAAACTCAAGGTGATTTAGAGGTCGACATATAATGTACAAAATGATGTATAGACACCTGTCCATTTGTTAAAGACTGTATGTTGCCCTCTATTAGGTTCTTTAACTCATTGAAATACAATAAACATTTCTGTGTGCAATTTCATTTATCATATTTTGTACAAAAACAAATAGTTAAATCATTACCTGATAAAGAATGTTGCTTTGCAGTTATTAAGTTATTCAGTTTTTTTCAGGTTCACTCTGATTTCAACCATGGTCTTAATAAATTTCATTGAATCAAAAGTATGAATCAAATTTCAGTGCACTGTGCATTAGCATAGCACACATTTCTATATAAACTATCATCAAAATGATCCACACCAAAATTTTGGGAAGAGCATCAAAACCAAAAAAGGGCCTAAATAGAACCACCAATATGTCTTGTTATCCAAAACAAAACATCCAATATGTGTGATTTATCCAACTCAATGGAACCTTTAAATAGCTAATGCACCAGTTATTATGCACCACTATAACCTCTAGTATTCTTCTTTAATAAAAAAGAAAGGATATGAGGTATTCATCCATGACACAAAATCAATATGTGAACAGCAGAAAACACCAAAAGCAAAGGAACAGCACTTTTATTGCTGTTTTTCATCTCAAAGTCACAGTGAGGCCTTAAAGAATAAATTAACTGCAGTTTTTCCTAATGTATACATTTATATGTGATATAAGTGCTTTTGTTACATAATGAATATAAAACATTATATGCACAAGCCAAGTGAGCTTTTCTCAACACTTGGCGTTAGTCATATGTCAAACTTTTACAAAAATCTTCTCCTCTGAAACTACTGGCTCAAATAAATTAAGTTTGGGGAAAATGTTTGATATGTAATTATTGAAGTGAGATGTAATTTGATTAACATGGACAGTAGATATATCTGCACAACAATATATGATTTAAACTGTGTAAATGTTTTAATGTTTAAGCTTGTTGAGAGTATGAATAATAATGCACCTCAATATTTAGTGAAATTTTACCACATGTGCTATTTTTACAAATATTCTTTAAGATTGTCAATTAAAGGAAAATTATTTGTTGAATGTCCATTAAACTTTTACAACAAAAACTTTCCATCATACAGGCACCATATTATGGAATTCTTTAATATACTATCTAGAATAAATAATGTGGAAATTATTGATATATTGAAAGAAAAGTATACATCATAATCAATGTATAAGCAAGGAAATCATTGAAATATCTAAATTCACAAAATGTATATTATAGTTGTTTTGTACAACATTCGAGATACCGTTCAAGATATATTCATTTTTTTTTCTCAGAATTATTGCATGAGGGCCTCAAGGAATACAAGTTTCATTGTTGCTAACTGTACTACCCTCTTGAAATAAAGTATTATTCTACTTGCTTACTAGATGGTGGGACCATATCAATTTTTTTATCAAATGAATTTCAGGTGCTTGTATATTTCACTCATATATATCTTCTGCAGGTTTGGAAAAAATTTGTAAGGGGTTCCATGTCTTGCCTGCAATTTGATGCTGTCTGTGTAAAAGCGTAATGTTGACTTAAAAAGTGAGTCCATTTATCAGTAAAATACAGAATTTAAAAAAATAAATGTGGATAGTGTCCACATGTGGACACAGATGATGCCCCAGTTGCATATCATATAGTTATAAAGGGACATAACTGAAGAACGGTAAGAGTGACGCTACCCAAATTTGAACTTGATCTGAGTTTTGTGGTAATAAGCATTGTGTGTAAGTCTCATAACATTTGGTTGAGGCTAACTTAAGTAGAGAACAGAAACTAAAAATTCAGCAATTTTTCTATTTGTAAACACGCATAACTCTAGAACGTTGTGTATAAGTTTTACAACATTTGGTTGAGACAAACTAAAAAATTCAGCAATTTTTATGTTTATAAAGGGACATAACTCTAGAATGGTAAAAGTGTTGCCACCTAATTTCGTACTTAATCTTTATTATGTAGTAATAAGCATTGTGTATAAGTTTCATAACATTTGGTTGAGGCAAACTCAAGTTAGAGAACTGAAACAAAAAAATTGTACTTGATCCTTACTGAGTTTTGTGGTAATGAATATTGTGTATAGGTTTCATAATGTTTGGCTGGGGAAAACTTCAGTTACAGAATGGAAACTAAAAAATTTTGCAATCTTTCTATTTATAAAGGGGCATAACTCAATAATGGTTAAAGTGACACTACACAAATTCAACTTGATCTGTGTTTTATCAGTGGAAGTCAAAATTAAACATTGCATTGTATAAAGCATTGATTGTAGTTGATTCAACTATAATCATGGTCAAAGGAAGATAACTCCAATTTTAAAAATATATTATATAAACTTGATATTTAGAAGAAAATAAAAATTTTGCAATTTTTCCTTTTATAGAGGGGCATAACTCTAGATCCATTAAAGTGACACCACCAAAATTCAAACTTGATCTGTGTTTTGTGGTAATAAGCATTGTGTAAAAGTTTCATAACATTTGGTTGAGGCAAACTTAAGTTAGAGAACGGAAACTAAAAATTTTGCAATATTTCCTTTTATAAAGGGGCATAACCCTAGATCGGTTAAAGTGACGCCACCAAAATTCAAACTTGATCTGTGTTTTGTGGTAATAAGCATTGTGTATAAGTTTCATAGCATTTGGTTGAGGCAAACTCAAGTTAGAGAACGGAAACCAATTTCGGGACGTACGGACGGACGTACGTACGTACATACGTACAGACGGACAAGGGTAAAACTTAATGCCCCCTCCGCTACGGCGGGGGCATAAAAATCAAACTTTTTCTTTAGATGCTTTTTCTTGGTCTTGAAGATTAGCTTCTGCCCAAGTTTCATAACAATCCATGAAGGTTTACAAATTCATCATGTCAAAAAAAATTAATTCCAGACTGTCTGTAAATGTTAACTGTAATAGTCCATTTATCAGTAAAATACTGTATTTTGGTCATAAACAAGCTTCTGTTCAGTTATTGATGTGTGGCGGATTGCTTCCATTGGTATATGCAGTAGATACTTAGACAGCCTTAAGCGGTTGAGCTAGGAAAGTACATGTACTTCTTTAGCTCAGACGGTTAGAGCACTGCCTTGTAACACAGAGGTCCCAGATTCGAGTACCGGAGGAGACCAAGTGATTTTGAAATATGAATCATGCTCTCCAGTTATATTTGGCACCCAACTAAATCAAAGTGATGGAAATCACTCATGGAAAGACCGGGAGAGTAGTTTGAATAATTTCAAATCATATTTAGGTATGGAGTGTACAAAAAAAACATTAATATACCACTATTGCTGACAATTGCATTACTTGCAGGTCTTTAGAAGGATAAGAACTTTTTCAGTAGATAAAAAGAGCTAATGTGAATCGCTGATAGTGAGTTCCTTAATCTACACAACAATTTCGTTTAAATGGCAGATTATATCTGAACCAAATTATGTTCCCAGTTTCATGTTTCACCTTTTACGCTTTATCTTTTGAAATATAAGAAATGACAATACAAAGATTATTCTAATAAAGTTTATCAATTATCCTTGTAGGACATGGGAACAAACAGATAGACTGGAAGCTCAAAACTTTATTGTCTCAAAACAAAATAACCTAAAAAGGTTGTTATGCAGTATTTTGTAAGTTGAAAAATAGGATTACTATTTTTCTCCTCTAATAATTGCTTATTGATTTTGAAAACAATTATCATTATATGACACTGAAAATCAAAAGTTGTAGAGTGAATTTCAATTCAATTTATAATTTAACATTTTCCAGAAAAGGGCATTGAAAATGTACTTTTTCAAAATAAACAAATAATTTTTTTTTATTGAAATGGGGATTCATTTTTAATTGCAAAAATACACTTCTTGTATTCAAATGACTAAAATTGTTAACAGACATTTGATGGGGAATTAACTAAAAAAAAAATGTGGATAGTGTCCACATGTGGACACAGATGATGCCCCCACTTGCATATCATATAGTTATAAAGGGACATAACTGAAGAAAGGTAAAAGTGACAATGGACCTTACCTTTTTTTATAAATTATTCAGATTTCATATTTTGTCTTTTCTTTTGAAAAAAAAAAAGATCTTATTTATATTTCAGACATAATTTACAGAATCCCATTTTGTAGTGTAGATCAAAAGTAATAGCTAATGAATAAATCTATCATTTCTATATATATATCAAACTTCTGACATATACATTTGTGTATTCAATTATGAGGTCAAGTATTTGTGTATTGAGATTTAGAAGGGTCTCTTTAATTATGTAAGACTGTCAGAGGTTGATTAGTGATATGGTCAATATGATTGGCATTTAAGGAGGTGGAGCCTTGTGATTAAGGCCCCACCTTGTCTCTGATTGTTTAGTGGTCATGACAGGTGTCAATCATACTGATATTGTATCATTACTCTTGTCTAATCAAAATGACAAAAGTAGCCTGCACAATGACAAACCTTAAAGACATATATACTTGGATGAACAGCTATAAAAATATATAACCCAAATTTTTCACAGTTCATATGTGCATATGTACACAGACATGAGAATCATAGGGAACTATATTTCAGTGTGTATAACTGTAAAAAAAATTTAAGTCCATTTATCGGTAAAATATGGTAAAAATGAAAACAAGAGTTTTCAAAATTTCGCTCTGGATACTGTCTTTTGGTCATATAAAAAAAGCTTCTGTTCAAATTTCATAAAATTACATGAAGGTTTGACAAAGTTGTTGATGACTGAAAAACTTTAACCTCAGACTAAGTCTGAATGTCAACTGAAAAAAAACTAAGGCAACTTATTAGTAGTCTAAGAATACAGAAAAATGAAAATAAATCTTTTCAATATTTTGCTCTAGATCTGGGTACTGTATTTTGGTCATAAACAAGCTTCTGTCCAAATTTCATAAAATTCCATGTAGGTGTGACAAAGTTATTGATGTCTAAAAATAACTTTGACAAAGTTATTGATGTCTAAAAAAAACTTTAACTACAGACTGAACTTAAATGTTGATGCTACTGACGTCGACAATGGAATCTAGGATCGCCATGTCTCGCTTTCACAAATTAAATTTTGCAGGATCGACATAAAGGAATCTCAAAATCCAGGTAAATATTTCATTTGCTAAAACATCAAAATTATGCATTTAAAATTGTCTCATCTAGTTCCTTACTGCTCCGGTTTGTCTGTAATCAGAGTAAATTTTGGGTTTGTAAACTACTTTTTTTGTACTGTAAAAGTGTATAGTCCAAATTCCTTCTAATGAACCTTACATTGTATCTCAAATACGAAATTATTAAAACTTTTAATAATTTCGTATTTGAGATACAATGTAAGGTTAATAAAAGGTATGAAAATTGGTAATTTCTTATGATTTACATATGTAGAGTCAGAATATACTGTGAAGTGGTCTGAAGTGATTGACTTACAATCAATAGATTATGTCTCAGGTCTATAGAAGACAGTAACTAATCTCTATCCCAAAATACCAAAATATCTGGGTCAGTTTACAGGGGACTTTCTGGAAAGGGGTAACGACAAAATTATATGCCTCAAACATCTTCTTTCTGTATATTCCTCCTGTGTATAGGAGCACATCAACAACACCTACTTGAATTAGAATCGGTCTCATCTAAAATGTATCGGAACAAATAGTAAAAATTACTTTGAGGCAAATAAAGACCGGATGTATTAAACATTCATAAGAAAGATACCTTGAAAAAACATTATTTACAGAAAGCTTCTAAATAAAAAAGCATTTCAAGCATAAAAAGACAAAAGATGGATATGCGCGATGAGCTTAATTTGTAAAAAAATAAGAAATAAATATTAGTAAGCTGCAAAAACAGTGCACTTGCAGCTTAATCGATTCTATGACTTTAAATTAACTTTTCTCTAAAATCAGGTAGATAATTATGATAAAACATCGTCTGTATATTAAGTAAAAGAGTTCTTGGAACACTCTTGTTTAACATTTGTATAACTTGGCCAATCAAATAGATCTCATTGTATTATTATGCAGATGACAACAACACATTATATTCCTTAGTCCTGATTTTGAAATGATAATTTCAACATTAGAAGATGAATCCAAACACCTTATGAAGGACTGGTTTAAAGGACAAGGGGTGATAAAGTCCCGGATGATTTTAGGCCCCACCCTCAAATTTTATTTGATTTGTCATGTTGTAATTCTATACCACAGACCTTCTGAAAATGCCTGCATTTTGGGTCTATCTCGTATATTCTGTTGCCTAACAACCACTATAATGGTGGCGATAAACTCAATAAATTGCTAAATATAAATTTATGTTTAAGATCCAACTTGTCTAGCATGCAGTAAATTATACATCCACTGTTTTAATGTAACACAATGTAATGCACATTGTAAAAAGTACCAAACCTCAAGGAAAATGATAAGGATAAAAACCAATGCTCAATATCATCAACAAATAAAAATACTTGACAAACAAACAACTAATTCTTCAAGAAAATACGGTACGAAATGCACTTGTAGAGTACCTCTGTCATGTCTGTGAAGTAATAATAATGTAGAATTGATCTTATAGTAAAATTGCTGGTTATTACATTTGTTTTATAAATTAATATGTGTATACCTTATATCTGGGAACAGTATATCTATATTCCTGCTTATATTTTCTTTTCATTATACTCAGTATTGATGACATTTACAGATTTTGTCTTTAGTGGTGGGAGTTGAGGTGTAAACTCTTGTAATTTAACAGTTATATTTGGCATAATAACTCCCGTATGGGAACTAATGATTTCTCTTCCTATACCTATTTATTTATCAACATGTTTTATGCGATCCACAATCTTACCGAATCTTTATGTAATTTTAGTAGAAGACACATTTTTTGTTTTGGATACTGTTTCTTTCTCTAATTTTTGTATCTGTTTGCCTATTTATGTCAAATGATGATACATATATTGTTTATGGTTCAAAGAGCCATTAGGAAACAGACATGGGAACTTCTGGTAATTATCATAACTTTAAGTTTAACCTCAGGCTATCTTGGAACTTGGCTAATATTTACGTACACATCTCTCTCTCTTTATTTTTAGTCCCCTATTCAAAGGCGAAGGGGACTTTAAGTTTTCACCCCGTCCGTCCGTCAGTCCGGCAAATCTGTTTTCCACACTTTATTTCTTCTTGCTTGAAGATATTGATTTGATATTTGGTATATAGTTTTATCATGACCAGCTACAGATCAAGTTTGATTTTTTGTCTTGTCTGATGATTTTTGCAGAGTTATGGTCCATGAACTTAGAAAATTCACGCAAGTAATCAGTTTTCCGCATTTTTTTTTCTTCATGTTAGCAGATATTGATTTGAAATTGATCAAGTTCGAATTTTGTTCAGTTCGAATTATTTTTTTGCAAAGTTATGGTCCTCTGACTTAGAAAATTCACCCAAATAATCATTTTTCCATACTTTTTTTTTGTTATGCTTGAAGATATTGATTTGATATTTGTAAATATTTATCCGTGACAAGTTACAGATTAAGTTCGAATTTTGTTTGGTTCGGATGATATTTGGCAGATTTTTTGGTCCCTCCAGAAAATTCTCTGTTGTAATGTTTGCATAATAAACCTTGAAAAACAATAGAAATCACAATGCCTGCCGATCTGTCTTGCAATCTTGTTGATACAACTCTTTTAGTGAAAGTTTATTCACAAGAAAAACTTTTCATATATTTTAGTATAAACAGACTTAGTGATCAATATTTGCACTAGGAGATATAAGATATTAGGACTTAGTTTGTTTTAATATAGAAAATATTACTGATTACCGATTAAGTTAGCATTTTGTTCCAGTTCAATGATTTTTTTAACCGGTATGGGGCTATGTATTGACATGCAATACTCTCAGAATGCTTGTGTAACAAAAAAATTGTTCCGGCGTGACATTTGTTCCGCCGGAACTTATTTCATAGAAAATATGTTCCACCGGAATTTATATCACAGAAAATTTATACCCGGAATATATATTATAAGGAAATACATGATGTTCCAGCACTGTAAAATTGGTCCAGAACTAATTTTTTTACAAAATGTGAAATAAGTTCCGGAACAAAAATCACAGCTCCATGAATTTTGTTTCAATATTAAAATTTAAAAACGAAGTGAAATAAGTTATATAAGTTCTGAAGGAACATATTTCATAGAAATCAATGAATAAGTTCCGCTCGAACCACAGCGGAACATTTTCTTGTTACTCTTAAATGATAATGCAAATTGAATGCTGTATTATGCTTACATGGGGTACATTTGCAATTGAAGGCATGACTGTTACTCTAGAATGAAGAATAAGAATAAAAGCGATGGTAATGTATCATAGTTTGTATTTGTTTATGTTTTATGTGGTATTCCTCCTTGTTTCCTGTTAACTGTCATGGGTGTTCTAGTCATACTAAGGTCACGGCACATTTTCAAACTACTCTTGAGTTGTCTTTTGTCACTACATATTTTTTAATTAATTGATCAGTCACTTTGTCCTTTTCAACTTAGTACAAATGTTCACATCTTTAACAATCTGATTTTTCTTATTCTCCTCGAGTAATAGTATTTAATTAATCATTTGCTATACTCCACAGGATTCATATTGGATGTTTACACTTTTTATTTATTAATTATCAATATAATACATGTTTTTATAATGTACTTGAGTGATAACTACAAACCCACTGATGACAAATGTTTGAATATATATATATGTTTGAATATATGTCGTTTGTGCTGTATTTAGACCCCTCTAACAAGAAATTTGTTTTGCATGCACACGTATAAAAATTGCGGTTTTTATCCAATGCAATCATAGGTTTGAACGTTGTTTTCAATTTAGACTTGTTTATGTTTGAATATATATATATATGTTTGAAGTATATAAGACTGAGCCAGATAAGGTCCATTTCTGTGTTTTTTTGTTTGTTTTTTTTTTGCATTGGGAAGATCATCTGGCTCTCTTCTACCTCTTCCTTTTAAATAGGTAGTTTAGACGGCAGAGGAACATAAGAAACATGGCGTAACTTAGTCTAAATAACATTAATAAATTTATGAATGCAGATATAGTAGAATGTGAGCTGTGTGATAAACGTTTTTATGGTATGGCAGCCTTAGTAGGACATCGTCCCTGTAGAGACAATAAGCTGGATAAATATAAGAACTACGGGACAATAACAGTAAGGGGACTGCTATTTAATATCCTGGCCTGGTGAGGGGGAGGGGGCAGGAGGATATTTTGCAGATTTATTAATATTCATTTTAATCTGCCGCTAATCATGCCTATTTTTCAGCTCCTACCAGGCCACCATATTCATATTTAAAATCCTCCTGTCCCCAACCCCACCAAAAAAAAAAATTCAAATGGTTTCCCCTTATTTTACACAAGTTTTAATTTATTAATTGTTGGTTGCTTATATTTAACGTCCAGTGACAAATATTTCATGCATGTTCAGGAAAACACGTGTTTAAAAGTCAGGTATATAATATAAAAATAAGGAGATGCATATGTGGTATGATTGCCAATGAGGCAAATATCCACCGGAGTTCAAATGAAGTGGATGTAGATCGATGTAAGCAATTATAGGCATTAAACATTAAACATGTTTAACCCCGGCGCATTTTTTGCGCCTGTCCCAAGTCAGGAGCCTCTGGCCTTTGTTAGTCTTGTATGTTTTTTAATTTTAGTGCACTTATATGTTTTGGAGTTTAGTGTGACGTTTATTTTCATTGAACTAGTACACATTTTGTTTAGGGGCCAGGTGACGCCCGCCTCCGGGTGCGGGATTTTCTCGCTGTGTTGAAGACACATCGGCTGTTTTCTTCTATTTGGCCGGGTGGTTGTCTCTTTGATACATTCCCCATTTCCATTCTCAATTTTATTCGTACATCCTTCAACAATGACAAAATCCCATACCGTATAGTCGGCTATAAAAGACTCCGACATGAAAAATGATAAACAATTGAAACGAAAAACTAACGGCCTAATTATATATATATAACAAAACAATTTACAAAAAAATCAAACATAAGTCGACAGACATATGAACCAACAACAACCACTGAACAACAGGCTCCTGACTTGGGACAGACACCTAAAGAATATGGCAGGGTTAAACATGTTTGTGAGTGTCACCGTACAACATATGAACAAACTGTTAAAAATCAGTTGCAATTAGGTTAACTCAAAAGATCGGTACGAGACATAAAAAAAAACAACTAACATTAAGACAATAAACACAAAGCACCGAAATAAGAGTATTTGCAGTTTCTGAAAGTTTGTTGAAAGCTAATTACAACTAACACTGAGATAAATCTTGTTCTCCCAGACTAAAGTATCAATCAGTACACAACCAACGGATTTATAGTCATAAACAGTCCATGACCTTGTATACCTTGTATACATGCATATACAAATAAGGTTTTCAAAAAGCGTTGTCCGAAGGTTATGACCATCGAAGTTTTGCAATAGAAATAATAGTTAGGAACAGCAGATTTTC